TGTAAAGAGGCCTGCAAAAGGTAAGTGTATTGTGTTTCTTCATTCACCAAGTGCAAAGCGTATCACTCGTTTTACTGAAATGGGACTCCGGGGGTATTTCCTTTTATCCAAGGAATTCTATTGTAGCTAATCCATGCTTCACTCACATCTGGAGTTGTTCTTTCGCACTCAAGGGTATTTCATTTGTATCTCACTAGTGGATTTGAAGAACCTTGCTTATTGGCTTTGGTCACACAAGTGTGTTAGTGACAGTATTAATTGACCTGCATCTTTTATCGTAATTGATTATTTCTTAGCTTGGGAGCAAATTGGTTATTGAGCAGTAAATATTGTAATAGGTGTCATAAAAGTATTCTTGTAATAGGATTGCATTTGATATGAAACTATTTCTCAATGGTGTTGCAACTAAAGATTCTCAAGAAAATCTTTTGGATTTGATTTGGAACAATGTAGCACCCCTAAGAGTTCAATTATTGGTATGGCTTGCTTGGCTTGCAAGAGTTAAAAATTTTGATTTCCTTTTGGGCCTATTTGTGTCAATAAATTCACTTTGTTTGTTGATTAAAAAATAAAATAAAGTACAACACTATTGTGAGGAACAAATCCCTAATTTCCTTGCAATGAGAACTAAATGCTCTTCATCTCATTATGGTACTCAATTGTGTTGAAATTTTAAATGCACTCAACAAGGCATTCCTTTTGATTCTTTACGAAAGAGGATTTCATTTGTTGCAAGAGTTTATAGAATTTTAAGGAGTTAATGATTTTTGTACTCTCAACCATTGTAAACTTGCTTCTTAAGGCAAAAAATGTTTTGGTTTCCTTATGATTCAACCCATTCACATGACTTCTAACCTTGATAAGATTAAAAAAAGAAAAAAAAAAAAGAAGCATGAAACCGTGTTAATGTAGAATAAGATTTGACAAGGAAAGCTATTGAAGTTAAGATATTGCAAATTTAAAATATTTAGCAACATTGCCAATGGGGGCATAATTGGCTTTCGCAAAGTATTTATGCCCACCTCCTCATTGTAGCCATTATAGCTAGTACTCAACATTCTATTATCAATGGCTACCACCAGAATTGAGTTCCCATGGTCATTATATGTTTATCATCGATTTTTTATTATCACCGCTAAAACTAGTACTATTTTAAACAATGCTTAACCCCTAAAATAGAATTTCTTTAGCGGCGGTTGGCAACAAACGCCGCTAATACTGAATTGGAAATAGATTTCATTTCTAGTAGTGCGAAACACCATTGGAATTGTCATTTTTGGTTTGCAATTATAGTACAACCGTCATATTTTTTTTTCTCGACACTTACCTTTGTACTACACCTTTAGCAACAATATGTCACCGCCACTAATAATGACAGTTGTGTTAGCACTGTCACTTTTGGTTTACAATTATAGTACAATTACTATATTTTTTTTTTCTTGACACTTACCTTTGTACTACACCTTTAGCAACAATATGTCACCGCCACTAATAATGACAGTTGTGTTAGCACTGTCACTTTTGGTTTACAATTATAGTACAATTACTATATTTTTTTTTTCTTGACACTTACCTTTGTACTACACCTTTAGCAACAATATGTCACCGCCACTAATAATGACAGTTGTGTTAGCACTGTCACTTTTGGTTTACAATTATAGTACAATTACTATATTTTTTTTTTCTTGACACTTACCTTTGTACTACACCTTTAGCAACAATATGTCACCGCCACTAATAATGACAGTTGTGTTAGCACTGTCACTTTTGGTTTACAATTATAGTACAATTACTATATTTTTTTTTTCTTGACACTTACCTTTGTACTACACCTTTAGCAACAATATGTCACCGCCACTAATAATGACAGTTGTGTTAGCACTGTCACTTTTGGTTTACAATTATAGTACAATTACTATATTTTTTTTTTCTTGACACTTACCTTTGTACTACACCTTTAGCAACAATATGTCACCGCCACTAATAATGACAGTTGTGTTAGCACTGTCACTTTTGGTTTACAATTATAGTACAATTACTATATTTTTTTTTTCTTGACACTTACCTTTGTACTACACCTTTAGCAACAATATGTCACCGCCACTAATAATGACAGTTGTGTTAGCACTGTCACTTTTGGTTTACAATTATAGTACAATTACTATATTTTTTTTTTCTTGACACTTACCTTTGTACTACACCTTTAGCAACAATATGTCACCGCCACTAATAATGACAGTTGTGTTAGCACTGTCACTTTTGGTTTACAATTATAGTACAATTACTATATTTTTTTTTTCTTGACACTTACCTTTGTACTACACCTTTAGCAACAATATGTCACCGCCACTAATAATGACAGTTGTGTTAGCACTGTCACTTTTGGTTTACAATTATAGTACAATTACTATATTTTTTTTTTCTCGACACTTACCTTTATACTACACCTTTAGCAACAATATGTCACCGCCACTAATAATGACAGTTGTGTTAGCACTGTCACTTTTGGTTTACAATTATAGTACAAT